GCCTCTAGCCAGGGTCAACCCACCACAAGAGCAATTATTGTTCTAGTTTCCACAAACAAAGCTTACTCAGCCGTGCTCCTGAGCCTTCAGCTCACGTTATCTCACGATAACCACGGTGACATAAAGCTGTCCTTAGGCAAAAAGTTTCTACCTAAAATGTGGAATGACAGTAAAGACAGAAGACCTCGAGCTGGCAGTGAAGAGGCAGCTGGAGGAGGAGCTGAGGAGCGGACGCTCACCTGTGGTCGAGCAGCTGTACTGTGGGTACTGCGTGAAGGCGATAGCCCTCTCGATGCCATCCTTCTCCATCTCCTCAATCGCTTCTTCCGTCAGAGGATGGACGTACCGGAACCCAATGTAGTACTTGTGAGGTGCTGCCAGCCAAAGCACAGGAAAAGGAATTGCAGAAAAAACCCCAGAACTCTCAATAACACCGAGTTATATCATTGATAAACACCGAGTACAGAACCAGACGGACTGAAACTGCTGAAATAAACTTGCTGATAATTTTCTAGCTACTTTTCTGAACCACTGTCATATAAACACATCTTTCTTTGGCCAAGTATTGTTCTGGTCACTGTGGTGGTTTCACTCCTATTAACTCCAAAACCAGGACAGGAACTCACTTTGCTGTTATTAGAATTTATAGAATCATAGAATCATGGAATGGTTTGGGTTGGAAGGGACCTTAAAGCTCATCCAGTTCCAACCCCCCTGCCATCAGCAGGGACACCTTCCACTAGACCAGGTTGCTCAAAGCCTCATCCAACCTGGCCGAGAACACTTCCAGGGAAGAGCAGCCACAGCTTCCTTGGGCAACCTGTTCCAGTGTCTGACCACCCTCACAGTGAAGAATTTCTTCCTAATATCTAATTTAAACCTCCCCTCTTTCAGCTTAAACCCATTTCCCCTTGTTTTGTTATTAACTGCCCTTATGAAAAGTCCTTCCCCCAATTTAAAAGCGATTTATCCTCTTGTTTGCTCCTGCAGGAAGCATCACTCCCCTGGTTTCACTCAGTCTAGCAGAGGCGTGGTTTGCAGACTGTACAGAGCTCTGACACTTTACTGGGTGAGTTCTGATTTAAAGGATTTACTGGTAAAACGTGTCACTACAAGACACTAAACAAACACCACTATGCCCTGACACAGACCAGGATTACAGATGTGCTGCGGGCTTCCCAACAGCACAGCTCAGCCCACCGAGATCACCAGGCGGATGTTTTAAATACAGCAACGTAATTAAAACGCCAAAACCTTAGGAAAGACAAGGCTTGGTTTGGTTAGGGGGAGGGAGGGAGGGAGGGGAGGTTTGCTGTTGGGTTGGTTTTGGGGGTTTTTTTTATAGAGGACAGAGGTTCTTAGGAGAACAAAAGCAAAGTTTCTTTTTCAGAGTTTCCGGGTCACTAGCTCTGAAATAACATTTCAGAGGTTTCTGAAGGAAGCAGATGTCCCGTGCTTGGTCTCCACTCTGTACATTTATGCAGGATTCAGAAAACAGGTTTAGTCAGCCCCAGTTCTCTGCAGGAGGCAAGAGAGCTCCCAGCTGGGAGCAGGAGCAAATAATGACCCAGCTTCAGGAGCCCCGGGAGCCAGTAACCTCATTAACATGTTTAAATGGCATTAAAAACAAAAGTCTGACTAACCAGAGCGAGGACAGTCAGAGTTTAACCTGGGAAAGGACATGCTGGGAGAAAACATGGCCAACTTGGAAACCTGTTGCAATACTCTCCCAGTGTTAGGTTTGTCCTGGATCACAGGCACCCAAGGGGAGATTTTCAGGTCTGTACACAGATTAATTTTGCGGTTACAGTTAGAGCCAGAACTTCTGGAAAGAGAGCGACGTCTCCTTCCACAAAGAGCTGCCAATCTAAAGAACCAACGTGGCCCCTTCATCCTGTGAGCTTTCATTCTGCTCACAAGGGAATCTCAGCTAAAATACAGCTTGTAAGAAACACTGAAAACTGTTATAATTAAAAACAATTTAAAAAGCAAGATGTACCTTCTTAAAATACAATTACCACTGCAAGACATTAGCCTATTTGATGCCAGCACTGAAAAAAAACCCCTCAACAATAGAAATGGATTTTCCTGTCATCATGTTTGTGATTTACTCTTACAGACCACTGAGCTGACAGACCACTGAGCTGACAGACCACTGAGCTGACAGACCACCACCCAGCCCTGCTCATTCAGAAAGGAAGAACTCTTGTTCATTTTCAGAGAGCTGCCTGTAACAATAAAGCTTTGGTTTAAAATTATATAGTTCCCAGATGACATGGGTGAGGCTGTTCATTTATTACTTTCTATTAGCCCCATTGCCAAAGTGTAACATGTACACTACAAGTCAGTAAATCAGCAGATTAATTAATTTACACAGGAGGGAATTTCACAGGTGGTTACAGACAGTGTCTAACATGAGCTCTTTACCAACTGCAAACACACAGCAACTACCAACTCCACGCCCCAGAAGCCCAGATCAAGGTGAAAGGAGCATGCAGAGTATTTCTTCTTTGACATGTGCTTCAAATCTTATCACCACACCCTGCAAGTTACTCATTAACAGGGCTCAGCGCTCCCAAAGCGCTACCTGTGAGCACACGATATTCTACCAGGCACAGCTCACTCTGGAGGCACATCCAACTGTTTCAGGCTGTTCTGAAGCGGCACAGGACGCCGTATCGCTGCAGAGTTACCCAAAATGCTTCAGGAAATTGTTAGGACTCGATTCAACTGTTAGCAGTGTTTATCATAGAATCCCAGACTGGTTTGGGTTGTGAGGGACCTTAAAGCTCTTCCAGTCCCAACCCCCCTGCCATCAGCAGGGACACCTTCCACTAGACCAGGTTGCTCAAAGCCTCATCCAACCTGGCCTTCAACACTTCCAGGGAGGAGCAGCCACAACTTCCTTGGGCAACCTGTTCCAGTGTCTGACCACCCTCACAGTGAAGAATTTCTTCCTAATATCTAATCTAAACCTCCCCTCTTTCAGCTTAAACCCATTTCCCCTTGTTTTGTCATTAACTGCCCTTGCCCAAAGTCCCTCCCCACCCTTCCTGGGGCCCCTTCAGGTACTGGGAGGCCACTGTAAGATCTCCCCGGAGCCTTTTCTTTTCCAGGCTGAACAGCCCCAACTCGTTCAGCCTGTCCTCACAGCAGAGCTGCTCCAGCCCTCACATTCAGTTTTTAAAACTGCAGCTACTGTTAGGTAAAGAAAAAAAAGAGGTCTCTGAACGACTTATCAGGTGTAAGAACTGCACAGGCTTCACAAAAGTGGTCACCAGACAAAAGCAAGCGGGAGTGGTGTGCTGAGAAAAGCAGATAAACTCTCTAGGCTTTATCTTCAGAACCTGTTACAAGCCTGGCCCTGCACAGGGGCTACTGCTGCTAAAAACACCGCTGCTCTGCGTGCCACAGCAGGGCACAGCCTGGGCTTCGGGCTGTGATGATGCTTGCAGGGACCACAGCTGGAATTAAGCTAGAGAGAGAGTAGCACCTGTGGGTAAAAGGATCGAACATGAGCCAAATGAAGGTACTAGTGACACGTTACACACTCAGCATAGGATGTAAATTTGGTTCTAGCCTCTTCCAAAAGCGTTACTTTTCACCTTCCAGACCCTTTCACCAGCCTTCCACCTCCAGCCCTAAGTCTGAAGCAGGTGCCACAAAGAACGGCAACATGGCCAGGAATGAAATAACGTGTGTTGTCAAACAGGGAGGGGGATTCCTGCCACGCCAGCACCACATCAGCAAAGGTCACGGCAAGGGAAGGGAGAGGAAGGCAGCAGCACCACACATCGTAAAGCTGCTGGGCTGAAGAGAATGGAGAGCTCTCCTCTCCGGTTTCTCTTCCTCCAGCAGCATTCCTATTAAAAATGTTTAGTGTTCCTATTGGAGTGGCAGGATGAGAAGTATTATCTGCAGCTAACACATCAGTGAGGAACTCAGCAGGCAGCTTAGTGATCTCCTTCATTCCTTCCACTCACCAAGGCAGCTTAGTGATCTCCTTCATTCCTTCCACTCACCAAGGCAGGCTGTGGCTCCAAGAACAAAAAGCATAATGCAGAGGAACAAAGGCAGCCCCAAAACAGGTCATTTCAGACAGAGCAGCTGTCACGTTACCGTGTGTCCTGGCTGTTGTCACAGCAGTGGTGATTCACTGTCATCTTCTGTCTGGCCCACGACAGACAAGTCACAAAGATGGCCATCACCCTGAAGCTGCTAGGTGAACGTGGAAGGTTAATTTCTACTGCTGCCACTCATGCTAATTAACGCCATGGTTTTAATGTCACATAGAGAGAAATTGTAGCGTCAAAGGTACTGTCAGCAAATGATCTGACACCTTCAGCAAGCAGCAAAGGAGAAACAAACTTCTCGTTCACCAGAGCTGCTAACTGAGCAACCACAAAAGCTGAACTCAAACTCAACTACAAGCCAAATGGAAAGGAGCTTAGCTAAACCGCTGCAAATCCCACCATGGCTGCACTCAACCCAGGTGAAAAATGACTCATCTATCAATTTGGTTGCAGGTTTTGGGAGAGAGATTGAACATGGCTGAATCACAGCAAATTAGCATTATGCAAATGACTGGTTAACTCTGTCCTAGCAAAACCAGGCCAGTATGCACAGTGAGCCCACTGCAACTGCACGGCAAGTTAGCTGTGAGCTGAGGCCCTTAGGAAATGGACATTCACAAAAGCCTCTGCACCCATTTCCCATCACACTAGTGCTGCCAGGCAGCGTGGCACAGAGTAATCCATCCGAGTCACAGCTCCTCGCTGCGAGGGAGCAAGGTTCAGAGAGATTCTGTGATCCGGAGAGAGGGGAGGGAGGCTGTATCCACCTTTCCAGTTTTCTTATCGTCGAGGAAGAACTGGCAAAGACAGGATCTACTTCCACCCAAAGCCAGACCGTTACCTTATCTCCTGCTCACGTCCTCGGGTGGGGCTCGCTGCTATCACTCACCCAAGCCCTGCCATGTTCAGCTACAAAACCCGCTCTCTTCTTCCAACCGACCTCCTCTTCAGTCCTGAAATCAGGCCTGACTGGCATGTGCCTTTTATCCATTATTAACAGAGATTCAGACAAAGTTTCAAAAGCTCTGGATACATCCAAGCAATAATTGCAGAGGGACATTTCAGAGGAAGGAAAGACATCTGCAGCTTTGGAGAATGGGAGACTCCCAACGCCCTCCCAACCTATTCTTTAGGCTCAGGCTGGCAGAACAAAAGCAAATGCAAAAGGCTTTCTAGTGTTAAGTTCTGGCCTCAGAGCTGTTCTACACCAGGGAGTCCCTGCACAGCGTCCTGGCCAAGCTGGGCCTGAAGAAGGAAGGGCACTGGGAAGAAGCACAGGTGCTGTGCTCCGAGCCCTCACTGCTGGCTGCTGCGAGTGTGTGGCAGCAGAATGACCCTGTCCTGCAGTTAGCTACACTGAGGAGCAGCAGTGAGAAGGAGGCCGTGCATTTTACAGCAGGAGATCCCCCACCCCTGTGAAACTCAGCAGCACCAGCGTACAGCACACAAGCGACCAGGAAACCCTGGATCAAGAGGCATCTGCTACTCTGTGCACACACACACAGACACAGACACACACACACAGACAAACACAGACACACAGACAGACAGACACACACACGTGCAGCCTAAGAGGATCATCACTCTCCCGCTCCGACTCTTCATCGAGGATAAGAGAATTACATGAGATTATACTGCCAATGGTCACAAATCCCCACCTCGTTAACGCTAACGAGTGTCACTCTGAACACCCTTCTCCCACTGTGCACATGAAATACATTCCCTTTTCTTATCACCTAAGGCTCAACCACTTGTCTTCAAGCTCAAGCAGGGCTGACAGGGCAAGGCATGACACCCTGCAGTCGTACACACCAGTGGAGCCTTAGCCATCTGAAAACAAGGTACTTTGTCTATCACAGTCATCCAGAGCTCTTCCCACAAGCAAAGGGGAGAGATAAGTGTATCTCACCTTCAGAGGGTGAGCCCCCCATCTTTGACAACAACCTTTGGATGAACTGAATCACTTTCTCTCCAAGCCCTACTCTCTCTCGATGGAAGAGGGAGCAGAGACCACCAGCTCTGGCCAGATGCCCACCCTCCTGATGGCTGAAGTCGTGCAAGATGAAACGCGCCAAAAGCACCTAAGGGTGGACTTGCCCAGGGCAATTCTAAAGCTGTGGCACAGAGAGAGGTGGCAGCTGGACCACAGCACATACTGGATCCAGCTGAGAAGGTGGGTAAATGTTTGCTCGTTGGCTTTTGGTGTCACGCTGCGTTACTGAAGGTTGAACAAGTACCAACAGTGCTCTCCAAAACCAAAGCTGTTCTCCAAAGCAGCCACAGAAGTGACAACAGCACCAAAATCTATTTGCTTTTGTGGGAAACTCCATGGTTCTGCATATGCTGAGTTTTTAACGAAGAAGAACTTCTGCAATACCTTTGTTAGGATTTCCTAGCAGGACTGAGGCCACTGCTGACTCTCGCAATAAAAACTGAGAAGCAAAAGCTGCTTTACAAGTGTGTACTTTCAACACATGAAGCAAAATAAACTTCTAACAAGCAGAGCAGGGTAAAGACATACCAGTGCAAGGAGACATGCTGTCCAGCAGTTTCACCATGCCCTCTCCCTGCACTGCTGTCCACTTCTTGATTGGTGATCCGCCTCCGATCCTGCTGTACTGCTCCTGGATTTTCGGTGTGCGGCGTTTGGCAATGAACGGTGCTAATTTACTAAAGGATGCAGAAGGTACATGTATTAATACCACAACCCAAACCACCACCCCTTCCCCTAAATCTCTCTGCTGCAGCTGGTTTTCCTTGGCAATCCCCTCAAATTACAGCAAACCAGCGTTGCATGGCTTGTTTAATGTTCTATTCCATCACCCTTCCCAAACCTACTAGGTGACAGGAAACCACAGTTTGCAATTAGAAGAGAACGATCTTGGCACGCCTATTTCCAGAGAATTATAACACCACTTCCTGCACTGACTGGTCCCAAGATTAAATAGTCTTAAGAAATGCTGATATACGCAGATGTTAAATGTTTGAGCCTTTAGCTAAGACAGCAAACACCCAACACTGACTGTACCACAGGAGTCCACAGGGTTTCTCACTTTTGAGCTGGAAGCGTCATTAGATCTCTGTCCAGGAAGAGACGAAGTAAGAAATCGTGCACATCATCCAGCCGCTCCGGACCTCCCATGTTTAACATCAAGATTCCTGTTTTAGGTTTCCTATGGAAGCAAGAGATATCTCAAATCCTAGTGATCTAGTGCTTTTAAAATTATTATTATTATTATTATTATTATTATTATAAAACAATCAGCTTATTTGTCTTCTGCATCCCATTTAGAAGCTCATCCTGCTTATGTAAAAATACAAACTTTTTTTTTTAAAGTAATCACTTTGCACACAGAGTTTAACTGGAAATATCTTGCAGCTGAAGGCTGCCAGGGAGGCTCTAAAATAGGGTCTAAGGAACTACCTCAGCTGAAGGCCAGCCGTAGATTCCAACCAAACCAAGCAGCAGCTTCCACAGAGAAGAGATGAGCTGCCCATACAGGGCTTTGTCTTCATTTAGAGACACATCTCACCTCCTGAGGCAGTGAAAGCAGCAAAGAGCCACTACACATAAAATAAGCGCAGGGTTGGTTTTGTTTGGATTGTTGGTTTTGGTTTTTTTCCACAATGGGTTTTCTACCCAGGTGCAGGTCTGGCACACTGTTCAAAGGATCACATCCCTCCCAGCACAAGCAGAGCGGAGCAGACAGTGGGACGAGCTTTTACAGAAACAGCTGCTGATCACAGCTCCCACCCAAGAGGTGGATTTCCCCACTGAATCGTCATCCCTGCCCAAGGGAGCCCAGTGACCAGGTCTCTCGCCTCCTGAGCGGACGAGCTGAGGCTCATGGGGAACTTTCCCCTCCTCTTGTTAGAGCCAAAGTCTTACAAAGGGACACTGAGAGGAGCCTTAGGCCTGTCTTGATGGGTCAGGATCTGTTTCCATTCCCTTCCTCCTGGAGTGTCTATCAGAAGGTTGCTGAATAAAACCCAGGAAGCAGGAACCGGAACCTCAAATAACAGCAATATCCTTCTGTTTATCCTTCTGTTGGTTCTGCACTGCCTCAGGCCTTACTGCACTCTGCAGAGAAGAGGGCAGGCCATCCTTGCCCCACACAACTGTGAAAACAAGAGGCTCAGTGAATGCAGCCAGCCAGATAAAAGCAATCACACATGCACAAAAAAACAGATGAAGCCCCATGACTGCCACGCTTTGCTACATAACCAGCTTTGCTAACAGCAGCATACCATATCAGAGAGAGACATGGCCAGGAGAGCGGGTCACACCCACCCAGGCCGCGCTGCAACCTTACCGCACTTCGGGCTGAATCTGAGGTTTCGTGCTCTCTGTCACAGCGGCTGCGGTTGCCTGAGCTCTCCATCGCACCGGGACCCGCAGGTGACTGCTGCTCCTCACAACTGGGAGAAAGATAACAACAGCACACTGATAACCTTGCACCGGGCTGAGGGGCCTCTTCACCAGATAGGCACTAACCCCTCAACAGCTACACAAACACACTTGGCAGCACTGCGCTGCTTGGCATGTCTCCCTTAAGCTCTAGGCCCCGGAATCAAAGAAAGTTATGAAATTGCAAGCTTCTGCCTTTCTTTAAACACTCTGTACACTAGCAGCTTTGCAGATACCAGGCAGTAACCTAAAAAACAAACAAAAGCTTCACTAATCTTTAAGTTCCAGTCATAAATCCAAAATAACTGGTGGCCACACGAGAGAAGCCACGCAGGGCTGACACGCTCAGGAAGCAAGTAAGTCAAGCTCCTCCTGGTACAGACACACCTGGGCTAACTCTGGATGAGCAAAGGGATTTCTACACCACCTCTACAATGTGGGTTAGACATTGTTAACTCGGGGCCCCCAGTAAACCTCCACAGTGTAGGCCAGCACCTGCAAGCCAAAGCACACAGCTCCTTCGTCTGACCCTGTGTCAGGTACACTGAGCGGCAGTTTCAGAATCCCTTTCCCCAGGGACATGGGCAGCCATCCTTCCCACTGCCCAGCCAGGAGACTTCTATTATTCCTGGATTTCAGCATCAGCCAAAATACGGCACAAAACCAGGATAATTTACTTCCCACATGCTGCTTACAGTCTGCTTTTTCAAAAGCACGCTTTGTTTTCCTCAGGAGTTCATAGTCATTACATGATATTTTTGAGCGCAACAATAGTGTGAATTGCCCAAGATGAAAAGAAATTGTTAAATCCCGCATCCCCGGCTCTCCGGCAATTGTTTGCTGAGACAGTTCCCTTATCAAACTGCGGGAGTTCAGCAGCAATTGAGCCCCAATAGCACAGACCTCCTCAGCAGCTGATCCACCCGCTGAGAAGAGCATCTTACGGTTCACAGTTCCCTAATAACATCCTGAACAGATGCTGAACGCCCTGAAAACCTGCCGAAATCAATGACAACGAAAAGCATCTTGCAAATCCAGCTTCTTACTCGGGATTAAGAGTGCGTAGCTGCGGATGCCTGTGTCTGCAGCGATATAAAAAGGCTACAAATTAAAGAACTTCAATTCAAGCATTGCTGATGCCTGAAAGACTCTTTTCAAACATTTACATTCTTCTTCCAGTTCTCAGATTATTACTTTTTGAAGCACCGATGCTATATGTAAATTACATCGAACAATAAGAAGAGAAGTTTCAGTGGCTGTACTGATCCTTCTGTGCTTAAAGAAACGCTTTTTTTCCTTAAGGTGAGGTTTGTGCGTGTTTCTATCGGCACCATATAGCACATGGAATCACAGACTCATGGAATGGTTTGGGTTGGAAGGGACCTTCAAGCTCATCCAGTTCCAACCCCCCTGCCAGCAGCAGGGACACCTTCCACTAGACCAGTTTGCTCAGAGCCTCATCCAACCTGGCCTTAAGCGTGATGCAGAACACACAACGATGATGATTCCAGCTTGATGGCACGTTAGTAAAAACGCTCTTTTATAAATTTTAGAAAAGGCATAATTGTGTCAGCCCCTGGAGACAACGCCTGATATAAAACCGGTACCTGGTGTGTGCCCATCAGTGCTGCTGGTTCCAGGGTAAGCACTGGCTCGGCACGTGAAGTCACTGCGCCGTAACTAACCAGGTAATGCGTTTTATTTCCAAAGAGTAAGGAAAAGAGCTGCTGCTGAAGGAGCAGACACCCTGCGCGCTGTAAACACCGCAGTATGTACGGACGTAAGTGTGGGCAGCGCATAAAACACCCGCTCGTAGCTGTGACACTGGCTTATAGCTGTATTTATTATCACACCTCACCGCACCTGGGCTGATTTTTTAAATGTAACCTGTGAATTGTTAAACGAGGATGATTTTTACGGGATTTCTAAAAAAAAGGAAAGCGCTTCATTTAAAATTAAACTCGTTGCCGGCGGGGG